TTTGGCACTCATTTCTTTCCAAGCAGCAAATGACTCACAATGACTGTCATTATTTTCAGGGTCATTTAACTTTTCAATTTTTTTCCACTTAGAGAATCCACCCTGTGTTTTGAAAGCAGATCGACTATCGGATGTCATACATGTAGATGAAAAAAGAAGACAACAAATGCAGTATGCTGCTTTATCTAGAGGTGAATACACCAACAAGGAATGATTGACCTCTTGTCAATTCAGAAGGCATCATTTGAACCAAAATGCAGTCACAGAATGCCAATCTTTGGCATCAAATGGATCTTCTTTATGTTGAAATTCATGTGCTCCAACTTTAACAATCTCTGTGAGATGTGCATGTGTTACAACTGCTGAGCCTTTTGTATCAAACTTCATAAATCCAATATCCCTGTGTGTTAAAATATTTATTAGGTCGTCCTCTTTTAGCTTAGCAACACTATTCTATGGATTAGTTTCTGACAAAGTGGAATCCTCTTGTTTATTATTATTGTAGCTTTCAACAGAACAGAGAACAGTTTCTTCATTGTTTTCTTTTTCAAATGAAATCGCATGTTCACAATCTTGCACTTTGACCTCTTTGCTGCCATCAAAAGGAACAAATGCTGGCTTACTGGTGTCATCACTTCCAGCAAGGAAAGCTCTCATCAATTTGCTTGACTCCACCACCAAAGCTGCAAATTGTACACGTGTTTTGCGTCCCTGTGCTCCACTTTCTTTTTTTGACATAATGGGCTAAAAGAATAAATTAATAAATACTGACTACACTATTTAGTTGCAACATGCAAATTGTCAGATGAAAGGAAGCATTCTACTTTCCTAAGTTCCTAACCACAAATTATATTTAAATTATACAATCATAGTTGCAACTCAGGACTAGTTAGGCACATCTGGACCTGGTTTCACTTTAACTGCCATTATTTAGACCACCCATACTCATGTTAATTAATGTGACACAATCAATGCAGATGGGTGAATATGCTGGTAAATCATGCTTATGAGCACCATATAAATTACTGGCAGTTGCTAAATCACATTTAAAAACTCTATAGGTTTAACTACACAAACACTACAGGAGACAAGTTTGAAATTGCTTGAATTAAAATTAC